TGCAACAAGTGAGTGTATGTGAAAATGGAAAGGAGCAAGGCAAACATAACTAGTTATTTTGAACCTGAATGGCCTTGAAACATTTTCATGTTAGGAAGATACTACTAGGGTACAGACAGCTAGGTGGTACAGTGGCTAGAGTGCTGGACCTGGAGTCTGAAAGACCTAAGTTCAAATCTGGCCTCAGACATTTATTAGCTGTGTGACTCTGGGCAAGTCACTTAACCTTGTTTGCCTCAGTTTCCTCATCTGTGAAATGAACTGGAGAAGGAAATGGCAAACCACTTCAGTATCTTTGCCAAGAAAACCCCAAATGGGGTGACAGAGAATCTGACAGGATTGAAATGACTCAATAACACCACGGTATACTAAGGCTGTTTAAAGTATAACGAAGGAGCCACACCCAAAGTATCGCAGATTCAGGAAAATCTATCCTTAATTCAAAAGCCCTCAAGCCAAGGAGATGCCAGATTCTCCCTTCATTAACTCATTCTTTTACAACCCTTGACAACTCCCACCTTCAGGAAATTCTTAAATTTAACTTAAAAAGTTCAGTTACAGCCTACATCTGTTTCCTCTTTCTTTGTCCTTAAAAGATTCTCCCCAACAAATACACGCCAGGCAGGAAAAGAGAATAACATGCATTGCTTTGCAGTTTACCTAGGATATTCCTCAAAACCCCATGAGTTAGGTAATTTAAGTCTTTATAATCACCACTTTGCAGATAAGGACACTGAGGTAGAGAAAAGTTAAGTGATATGCCCAACTTCACACAGAAAAGGGCAGAGTAGGACTGAAATCCAGCCTTTCTTAGAGCCAAGTTAGTGTTCCTTTCATTACACCAAGCTCCCCTTCAAAAGTGAATAAAAATGCAGAAGCAATAGTGCCATTAAATGGTTAGTATTTTTACACAACTATTAGCAGTTTACAGAAGCAAGTACTTCTTATGCTCAAGATTACTTTTTTATGGTATAGTTCTAAATCTAGCTATATATGTGTGAGCTAGTGTATGGCAGAATGGTTAAAGGGCCAGCCCTTGAAGTCATAAAGAGATTCAAAGAGGTTCAAATAGTATTTATACCAAATGCTAGTTGTGATACCATGGACAAGTCATTAAATTTCTCAATGCCTTGATCTTCTGAGTCTACACTGGAAGGAACCCCTTATCATTAAGAAATCACAAGCTTGACTTTCCTCCCTAAACATGTGTTTAGGGATAGATAGATACATACATACATCTATCTAACATCCTAACGTCTGCTATTGCACATGTGGTCCACTGAAATGAAAGGGAACACACAGCTAACACGGTCTTGTCCATTACCTCAGCAGAGCAACAAAAAGCAGGACAAGGCAGAGGAAGCCAGGACAATAAGTCTCAGGAAGAGATTTCCATGAGAGTTCCTTAATTTGGAATTTGAATTTCTGGGTTAGAGTTCTGATTGGCCAAAATAATAGTGGAGACTGAAAGGAACGTCTATTATTGATTAGCAAATTCTCAGGTCAAACATGCCTTTTTTTCAGCCAGGTATTCATGAGTGTACAGGAGCCAGAGACAGCTAGTCAATGACATGCCTGTGGCTTTAGGGGGATGAACTTACATAATTTTAAGTCCTAACATGTGAGTTACTGACCATTCACACTTTTAAGGATTTGCTGAAGTATTATCAAGAATTCAGAAGCAGAAATTCAATCCCCTCAAATTCTAAGTGTCTTAAAGACATTTTGTGGTAGAATTATACACATTTTACAGTCATCCCTTCCACATCACAACTTTCCCCATTGAAGTTTCAGTATGTCAGGTCAGCATAAGTAATCAAATAGGAATTTGGGGGGAGTTTTGCAGAAGCCTCAGATAACATGGGAAGGCCAGCAAATGACAGAAAAAGTTTAAAAACTAAGAAATGAATAAAATATATGTATAGTATTATATAATATCAACATATTTTATCTTTGAATATTGTAAACACCCCATAAAAGAAAAAGAAAAAATTCCGACTTCTTCTCTGGTACAAAACGGGGCTCAAAAATTTTTACGAAGATTTCCCAGATCATAGGGGCACTGGGTCCCTAAATCCCACGGTGCGGAAGAGATAACTGTACTCTGTGACCCAGGGAAAGAAATGAGTTACTCAAAAACACACAGTGGGCAGATGAACATTGTAAACAGTAAAACCATCTGAGTCTTTGTCTATCAATTTGTATTCTCTTGATAATCTCCAACTCTTACCAATGAAATATAGAACTGACTTCTGGGCCCTATCTTCTCTATCTACAAGACTGTATTGTATTTCTCTCACTGGATAAGCCTTTTAAGATTTCAAATTGTTCATTGCCTTATAAATCAGAACATCTCTGGACCCAAAAAGGTCTCAGTCTTCTCATGCAGATACTTGATATAAAGCTGAGCATTTACCCCAAGCTTTCCCCATCAAACTTTCAACCTTTGTTCTGTTAAACTTGTGATGAGCCCCTACTTTGCTCCAGTGCCAATGGCTTGAAAATGCAATGCCCTATTTTAAGGCCTGTTACAAACATTTATGAACATCGAAGAATATTTAGCATCTGATATATTTTGGTGATTCAAGTCCAAATGAATCTGAACCACATGGATCAGATTTCTTTTTCATATCCTCACAAAGAAAAAAAATTTAGAAAAGTGGGCACAATGTCAAAATGTGTATGTTATTTAAAAATCAGATGGATGAGAAATCATCTTGCTACAACTATAGCACAAGTGTGTTAAACATAACAGGTACTTAAAATATATCTGTAGAATAAATAAAGATACTGTCCTTCTTAATAGTGTGATATAAAGTCTCATGACTTGAGTCAGAAGATCTAGGATCAAATACTACCTCTAACTTTTACCACCTATGTGACCATGGAGACATCACATAACTCTCTGGGCCTCAGTCACCTCATCTGTAATATGAAGGTATAGAACCAGATGGTTTCAGAGGTCCCTTCCATAGATCTATGATCCTATGAAATGTTTCTGAGTCTGATCGTACCTCTCTGGAGTAGAGACATAGACTCTGCATATCTTTAAACTAGCTTTTGACTAATCAGCAACTAATAGCTATGACCTTGTTACTCTAGGTTTTGTTTACCTAGTCTGAAATGTGACACAAAGGAGGATATCATGCCTTCTACTTAATAGTCCTTTGTTTTAAAATAATCCCCCCACCCCATGCCAAGCAATTAGGTACTATGGCAATAGGTCCCTTGGGAATGTTATACTACGACAGATTGTATATGGAAACTAGTACAGAGACAGTATGTAGCTAACATAGGTAAACACACCATTTTCTCATGTTTTTTATGATTTAATATTTTTGCAAAAATCACAAACTGAAATAAGTTTTTCTATAGTCCAATTCAGCTTCAGGTTTCCACATATATCTTTGCCCTTCTTAGAATGAGGCAAATATTTTTATCCTGACCACATAAGGCAGGCAGGACATCAGATATAATTTTGGTGCCGTGTGAACCTTTATTTCCTGTTAGAGCACTGCTTCTTTTCAAAGCTATTAACATTCATAATAGACAATTAAGTTAAAAAAAAATTCCAAGCACACCTATACGTCCACACCTCAACTCCAATTCTTAACCATTCGGAAGAGGCTGAAGACTGCACAACTCTACCTCATTTAAATCCAGTTCACATGCAAGTCAAGCTATCACCTGTGATACTGGTCCTCTTCAAAAACTAAGGAGCGACAGAAACAATCAGCTCTGATCCTTAACCATTCTGAAGCCTCACTGAATAGCTGGAAATCTTGCATTCATGGAGCCCATGTTTATTTGAGCACATTTTGCTCAGCATCAGACTTCCTCTAAAATCCAAGACATGATTTAGTCCTTCACTACGGTCAAAAGTATAAATTATCAACTCTTAAGATTAATTGTTTGGATATTGACAGGTTTGAATAATGTATATGCAACTGGGGAAAGGGGAGAGGAGGGTGGATGAGAATGACTGTTTTTTTCTCTCTCTACATCTCCCACTGACACAATGTCTTGTCTCCCCATCTCCCACCCTAAGAATGTGCCCAGAGCTTTTTCCAAAATCAATGAACGGTAAAAGGCATAATTTTAACCCACTGACACACTGTAGTCACTGCAGTGGTGAAATATGATAGATGATGAAATGCCACATAGTAACACCACAAGAATCTTAGCTGGGAAGTTGGCAATAGGGTATCCAATATTCATTTGTATACAATTCCAATCCAGAGCAAAAAATAGAGTTAAGCCAGGAAATTACTAAGTCTTGGAAGTTTTATAGTTATACACTCAGGTCTGAAGATCTAACTATATTTTAGGGCTCTGAAGAAATGAATGGATTTTCCAAAGAAGTCTGAACTAAAAACCAGGGACTTGGGGAAAAGGGGAGGGGGGCAGAATAATTCTAATTTCACTTCTGACTTATCAGACATGATTTGTTCTCTTTTATACAATATTCACTTTCTGGATCTGAATTTTCCCCGATGTAAAATACAGAGAAAATGTTGAGCCTTTTTAGAGGGATGAATAGGAAACTATTCTTAAAAAGAGAAAACAAAGGGAGTAGCTAATTGTCTTTATAAAATATGTGAAGACAAGTGGAGAATGCTGACAGCTGTTTTCCATCCACATTTAACATGAAAAAACAAATTGGCTTAACTTGAAGCAGGAGGCATTTAGGCTAGGTATGAGGAAAATCTTCCAAGTAGTAGGAGTAGTTATAATAAGATTTGCTAACGGTTGTTGTGGACTTTTATTTAACATCAGTCCAGTTATACATCTGTCTACAATAGTTTAACTAAGGTGAAAATGGAAGTGGGGGAGAACTCAATCAGAATTTCACAACTAGTATGTCCTGGCCATGTATTCTAGAGAGAATACATTTGAAAACCAAGATTTTTTTTCTCCCATTTGGAAATAGGTTGAAAACAAGATTTTCAAAAATTTAATTAAAAAAGAAAACTCTTAAAAATAAACCAAAAGTAATTTACCTGTACTAGTAGTTCCAGCTTTCTGTCATCAAGAAGATGGACTTGACACCGGCGCCCCTCCGTCATCTAAGAGAAAAAGAGTCAGAATCGTGAGTTTTTCAAAAGCCTTGGAAGCTTTCAGATAGTCACCCTTACTCAACCAACATTCATTATGCTCTTACTGTAAGCAAAGCATTGTATTAGACACTAGAAACACAAGTTTAAAAAAAATCAAACAGCACTTAATCTCAAGGTACTTTCATTCTTCTAGATACATAGGACCTTATACACCAAAAAGTAAGTAAATACAATTTAATTCAAGCAGAGGGACAGAACTAACAACATTAATGGGCAGCTAGGTGGTGCAGTGAATAGAGTGCCAGGCCTAGAGTTAGGAAGACCTGAGTTCAAATCTGGATTCAGACACTTACTAGCAGTGTGACCCTAGGCAAGTCACTTAACCCTGTTGGCCTCAGTTTCCTCATCTGTAAAATGAACTGTAGAAGGAAATGTCAAACCACTCCAACATCTTTTTTATTTCTTTCTTTATTTATTTTTAGGCAATTGGGGTTAAATGACTTGTCCAGGGTCACACAGCTAGTAAGTGTCAAGCGTTTGGTCTGAGGCCGGATCTGAACTCAGGTCCTTCTGACTTCAGGGCTGGTGCTCTATCAACTGCACCACCTAACTGCCCCCCCAGCATCTTTGCCAAGAAAACCCCAAATGGAGTCATGAGACTGAAGAACAAAAATAACATTAACACCCAGTACCAATGAGATTTGGACCAGCAAACCAGGTGTACACACACACACACACACACACACACACGCCACATACCCCTTCTCCAGGTGCCTATAGTCTCGTGTGTGTGTGTGTGTGTGTGTGTGTGTGTGTGTGTGTGTGTTTGCGGCCCCAGGATAACCTCTGTGATGCTAATAGTCATTGCTTCTTTAATCTCCTGCCCTCCTTAGACAAGAATAGTCCAACCACCAGGCCATCTGGCAAATGCATCATCTTTAAAAAAAAAATCTTTTCTTTCATTCAATGGAAGTAAAAGTACCCTTTCAGTCTTCACTCTACCCTTACTTAGTAGTACTAGTAGGTCCTTGGAGATAATGAAATGTACTTGTGTGCCTTGCCTTCACCAAGTAGAAAAAATCCTGTGAGACAGGACTGCATAGTCAACCTGACCTTCATTCTTTTGTGTCTTTCCAATCTATAAGTCTCTGCACCTAAAGTCCATTTATTTCCCCCATTAACATGCATCATTCCCCCCCCCCTGATTACCAGATGCTTCTGCTTAGACTCACCAAACTATTCCAACATGGAGAGACTCTGCAAAATGGATTAACCTTGCCTGATTAACCCTTTCCTACCTGGCCTTTCAGCAACTACTTTCTGCTAATCAGGGAAGGGGGCAAATGCACATGCATAACCTTCCTGTTCTGCTTTATTAATCACCCAACTGTAACGAAACTCTATCCAACCTATGTGGGCTCCCAGTGAGAAATGCCTCTAATTCTTCAGACAGATGGCAGAATATGAGAGGCAGAGGAGTATAGCAAAGAGCATTCTGGAATGCCAGACAGGCCTGGGTTCAAATTCTGCCTTGGACACTTTCAATATGTGTGACCCTGGGAACGTCACTTAATTTCGCCAAAACTCAGCTTTCTTACCAATAAAATGGGGATAATAGCTACTACTTCACTTATGTTATTGATTGAATGGCATAATTTATGTAAAAAACTTCATGAACCTTAAAGAGTTACGGAAGTGCTAAATATTATTAGGGTTAGAAGGAACCCTAGAGATTATATATCTTCTCTGCACACACACATTTGACAGATAAAGAAACTGAGATGGAAATGAATTGCTAAAAATTACATGGGTAATAATTAACAGCACTGTTCTTGAAATCCAGGCCCTCTGACTCTGTATCTCTTGGTACCACACCAAAGAAACCTGATGGGGGCCTTCTCAAGGTTTCCTTGTCTTGCTATAGGATCTGAGACAAAATAAAGTCTGTCTTACTTGGATGAGTTTCTGTGTCCCTGAATAATAAGTGACCTAGTACTTACCTACATCAAGAAAGAGCATACTGGGGCAGATAGGTGGCATAGTGGATAGAGCTCTGAAGTCAAGAGAACTGAACCTGAGTTCAAATCCGGCCTCAGACCAACACTTGATACTTACTAGCTGTGTGACCCTGGGCAAGTCACTTAACCCCAATTGCCAAAAAAAAATTAAAAAAGAAAAAAAAAAAAAGAAAGGCCTACCAAGGTAAGATTTAATCATACTTCAATATTTTAAAAGATTTGTATGTACACTGATAAAATCCTAACCTTCATGAATAAAGATCACAATGGTCCCATACCTAATCAACTAATTTCCTGCCCCAAGCAATCATCTAATCCAGCAATAAGCATTTATTAATCACCTACTACGTGCCAGGCACTGTGCTAGATGGACACACAGTATTCGTGAGTTTGCTGCGGCCAAAATAAACAAAAATATTGATAATTATGATAATGATTGTCATCATCATCATCAAATCATCATCTTCATCAACATCATGCTTATTCTTATCCTCATCGGTACCACTACTACTACCACCACCATCACCAGGTTTCCACATTTCTAGAGAATGTCTTTTCCAAACAGGCTACTCCTTAAAAAACAGTCTGACAGTCCATCACCAAGTCATGCTTCAAAGGGCTTGCTGGGCCTCACCAGGGCATGTGTACTGCTTGAGCAGTCTTTAAGATGCCAGCTGCTACTTTCATGGCATTTTGAGACAAACAGCATTAGTTGAGGTCAGACAATCATGAGAACAGAAATGAAAAGAATAAAATAGAGTAAGAATATAGCAAACCAGTCATGTTACATAATCTAAATTTGTCTCCAAATAGGATGACAACCTATTCTCATCTGGCTACACAAAGCATTTGTTCCAGAAAACTTTGTTTCCTCTGACAGATGTGATGCGCAGAGGATAGGTCCCTAAGCTCGAAGCCAAATTGTACTGCAGATCACGGGCATTCAATAAATATTTGTTGATCTGATTCTAAAAGTCGTTCAGCCTAATTTCCATCATTTCTCCATGGAAACTCAATGAGACTCAGGAGCCCGATGATACCTTACAAGCAAAAAGTAAATTCCCAGCTTTGCAATTCTACATAGCTACATGTAATAATAATGGGGGTACTTTGAGTATGCCCTCTGAATTTGAACAATTCAACATACGCTAGAAAGAACCCCAGATTACTGGAGTATAAGGCCCCAAAGCAAAATAGAGTCATATGCAACTAGCAACAGAAACATGTTATTTTGAAAACTCTTTTCATAGTATGAAGAACATTTCAGAAAAGAAAAATGTACAGGAAAAACATTACATACACATCTCTCTTCAGAAGCTGGCTTGTCTAAAGATCACCTCATTGCAAAAGGGTTAAGTGTGTATAAATTTAATGCAGTATCTTATTCACACATTCTTAACTTTTTCAAAAGCACAGGAAAATTGGTGTCTGAAGGTCTTAATAGTGCCACATAAATATTTTATCACAGTAATAAAAATGATGTGTCTTTCCCTCAAGTATTAGCCAACATTTAATACTCTGTGACTTTGATAAAAGTCTGTAAGAATTCTGCCACTGAATCCAAAAGCTAGAATTCAGAACATTTACCCCAAGCTCTTCTTTTAATCTGTGCTAGGGGAGAGGGAAATCCTCAAAACAAAAAGCTTTCTATACACTCTCACCTTAACTATCAGCAAGCAGTTTTAGGCAGGTCACTTCCAGGGCATCAAGATGTTAATGTTAGTCCAGTCGTTCCTTTATGAAGTCTAGCCATGAACTTGCAGGGTATAGGCCAGATTCCCCTATGTATTAAAGCCTCCCTTGCAGAAGTGGGAAACAAGCCTAAAGCAGAGTCTGAGCTTTGAACTCTCAAACTTTTTTCAGTATTAAGGTCTTTTTGACAACACCTCTGTGGTTTTCCAACTCAAAAGGTAAACTCTGTTGTTCCATGCTGGACAGAATGAGATGCTCCTTCAACATCAATCAATTTAGAAAAAAGACTTACTAACCTAGCGTGTATACAAATAATGAATGACCATCTGCTGGCTTTGTCTTGGTTGCTAGGCATACTGAAATTTCTTTTGAATACCAACAATAGTAAAATAATACTAGTTTCCTTTTCATTTTCAGCTACTCAGGTACAGTTGGAGCTCTGACATGGCCCTCAAAGGAAATCCTTTGGAAAAGAAGTCTTCTTATAAATATCAGCTGGTTACCATTTCAACCATAAATTGTCTTGCTACAATATAATTCTATAACAAGCAGTGGCACGCCAAGCCCACTATTGTTCTATAGGATATGTAGGAAAAGTTATTTTAAAAATTGTGTTTCTACCCTTCTGTGTTATCTACTTTGCTGTTAAGACATAATACTCAGATCTAAGGTGGCCATAGAAAAGTGGCCTAAAGAGTGATTTTTCCTTTTATTTCAAGTAAATTATTTTAAATAGTGCAAATACTTATTATTGCAAGGAAGGACTTCTCTCTAGAGTCCACTACCAAAAATAATAAAAATGAGAAATTATGATACTTTTATGTGTAGCAATTTCATAATTCAAAAAAGACTGAGTTTCCTAGCTGTTTGTGTTGATTGCTTTTTCTGGACAAGATTACAAAATGTAAATAGATGATATATTAAGACTTTCTTTAAAGTGTTTTTGCATAGACCTTGTAAAGTCTAGATCCACCTATGTAGAAAGACTTAATAGAGTTTGGGGTCTGACATATCTCAGTTGTGTTTTACCAAGAACATATCCACCTCACTTCAAAAAATAAACCATCCTCTTGCTTATTTGCTCTTATATTTAGATCTGGAAGAAATTGAGAGGTTATCTAGTCTAAACTCATTTTACAAATGAGGAAACTGAGTCCAAGAAAGGTCTGGTGAATTGATCTAAATTATGCAAGTGAAAGGGGAAAGGATTTGAATTCAGGCCCCTTAACACACTCTACTCATCATCCTTCACAAGACGCCCCATTTCTTTTTTTCTTTTTTTTTTTTTTGGTTATGGCC